AGAAAATAAAATACTTTAGCTGAATGTATCCTTTCCTCATTTGATGATTTGGAAAAGATATATATATATATATATATATATATATTTTGCTTTAGCTTATTACTTATCACGTTGAATTCAATACCATATTATATATGATAAGGCGAGTTACTTCACCAGACCCAAATTGAGGATGCCCCACGAAGTGTGAGGCCAAGATTTCTCCTTTGCTTTCATCAACAGCACCCTACTCCACGCAACCCAGCCTTCCCAGGAAGTCCTCTTGTCCCACGGAGATCCCCATTCCAGCAGAAGGGTGAGTCCTTTCTGTGCCATTTTCTCAGCCTCCTCAAATCTCCCCTCTGTTAAATAAACCTGACTCAACACCACATACGGCTCTCCAACAAACGGGTTTTTGCTAATAGACCCCACCAACAACTCTTCAACCTTCCCCAGTCCCTTACCCTTCTCGCAAACACCTTCCCAATACAAATCCCTCGCAACTATTTGATCCCCTGCGTCCAGGACCTTCCTACACTTACCAAACACCGGCGGAATAACCAACTCTATATCTTCATTTCTCTCAAGATCAACCACCCCCACTCCTGCACTTCTCTTCTCTTGAATAAAAATCTCCTCCTCCCTCGCAATCAAACTGTACACTGCTCCCATCCTTGAAATTGAACTCAACCACAGACCCGGTTTACCATCTCCCGGCCAAAGAGCACCAAAATTGTTCCCTGAAAACTCAAGGCGACCATTGGCGTTGTCAAATAACTCATCCTGAAAACCAAACAACTGGTCACAAAAATCCGCCATGGTCATCATCAAAAAAACAGCCACCACCCTCCTAGAAACACGCACTTCTTCACCCGTGCGAATATGCTTAACTTTTACCCCCTCAGCGGGAACCAGATCCTGCAGTTTCTTTCTCCAACGTTCTCCCATATCGAACATGCCTTTTTCCTTCGCGTTACTTAGAGATACCTCTGACTCAATCAGGTGTTGCACGAGCTCATCGTCGGTGTAGTGGAAGACAAGATCGTCGTGGATGAGGGGCTGCCTAGGGACCACGCATAATAAGTGAATCAAGCGCTCGGCTTCCTGGCCGACGTGTTCGCGAACCACTTCGCGGCCGGTGGAAGGGTCGAAGATGGCGAGGTTGACGTAGGAGTTGGAGTACGCGGAGTGGAAGAGGCCGCAGAGGGAGACGGCGTGAGGGGCCTTCCAGAGGCTGAGAATACGATACACGTCGAGAAGGTGGTGGAGGAAGCTGCCGTGCTTGTGCCAGCACTCGCCGGCGCTAACACTCTGCAGGACCCGGACAAGGCGTGGCAAATTCTCGTCGATGGACTCGAGCTCGCCGCGAAGGAAGGGACGAGCGCGTTCGAGGAGGTTTTGGAGTGAAGAAGCCATGCCTGAACAAAACAGTGATGATGAGGAAGAAGATATGGGAAAAGAAGATAACAATGGCTCGTGATGAAGACACGTACTAGTCGTGAGGAAGTTTCATTCTTATCTCAACATCACGATAGAAAAAAAAAAAAAAGAGAGAGAAAGTATTATGTTACTCATGATAATCGAAAGGTTTTGATATCTTAAATTATGTAAATAAATAAATTTTAAAAAATAAATTTAAAATAATATAAATTTTAGATAAAAATATAAAAGAT